TCCCGGTCTCTCCTGCCCGGGCTGGCTTTGAACCGTGATCCTCAGATCTCAGCCTCCTGAGTAGCTAGGATTACAGGCGTGAGCCACCAGCGCCCGGCTCCGGCTCTGGTTTTGATCCCCAAGTTTGGTAATGAGTTTGATCCATGTTGTTTTTGTTGTTGGTTTTTTTTTTTTTTTCACAGTCAGGGTCTAGGGACTGTTCCGGAGCTTTTTCGTGCAAGGCTAGCACTCTACCACTTGAATCACAGATTCACTTCTTCCCAGGGTGGCTGAGATCTTCAGATCTCAGCTTTCTGATTGGCTAGGCTTACAGGCATGAGCCACTGGCACCTGGCTTCTTTCTTTCTTCTTCTTCCGTGACAGTACTGAGGCTTGAACTCAGAGCTTTGTACTCTAGTGTTTTTGCTCAACCCTAGTGCTCTACCACTTGAACCACAGTTCCAGTTTTGGCTTTTGGGGGCTTAATCAGAGATAAAAGTCCATGGACTTTCCTGCCTGGCCTGACTTTGAACCATGATTCTCAGATCTCAGCCTCCCAAGTAGCCAGGATTACAGAACAAGCCACCGCCATCCAGCACTAACTCTTCTTTTTGTCCAATGTATCTCAGGATCGCAGTACCAGTATTACTTGCATAGGATCAACACCAAACTTGACAGCCTGATAAGCAGTTTGGCTGTGAAGAACTTGAAGAAGAAAAGACACCACTAGCCAACCGGGGAGGCGGTGGGCAGGTACCAGCCTGCCCTGCCTCGAGCCACGGAACCCTGGAAATCGGAACCGCATTGCTCCTACCTGTGAAAGCCAGGTGATTAACACAGGAAGGGAGTGAGACCGTGAAACGTCTTACCAATGGACGGAGTAGAAAGCAAGTGAGAAGAAATGGAGGCAGCGAGCTCACTTCCTGTGAGGGCTTATTTGGGGCGGGCGCAGCCCTGGTATACACCAGGCCCCAGGTGGGAGCCAAGACACCGGAAGACAACACAAGACGCTTCACCTCAATCTGTAAATGATAATCCCGCACGCACCTCCCTTTAGGCTTTTGGGGTAGTAAAGTGATTTGGGAAAGGTTGCCAGCCAGTTCGCCTCTTTCCGCGCCTCGTCCTCCGTGGGACACAGAGCGCGGGGCTGCACCCGCAGGAGGTGGGGTGGAATCCAGGACCAAGAGGGAAGCAAGGAGAGTCTTCAGTGCGCTTGTTTGCCACATGACTTAGTTTTCATTACATGTAGCTCAGGCCATCTAGCCTCTCACTTAGTTACCTAAGCCCAGACTGGCCTCAAACACTGCATCCTCCTGCCTCAGCCTCCCAAGTGCTGAGATTACAGGTGTACGCCGTCATGCTCAGCTGGCAGGACATGGGTGCTGCCCTGGAAGGGTACCTGGGACCATGTACCACTCACAAGAACAGTATCAGAGAGTAGGAACTGTGGTGGGCTAGAAGACCAACTACAGAGAGGCGCAGGAGCTCTGGCTGGGTGTTGTTCAGTGCTGGGGCGCAGGTGGGCACAGGCTGGCGCAGGCTGGTACTGAGGCCTTGGGGAGAAGGGGGATGGGCGCTCAGGATGGCCTAGAACAACGGAAGGACTTTGACTTTGAGTGTGCCTCAATCGTGGGGCCACGTGCATCGCTCCCCACTGATGCCAGCCCTCAGGAGGCTGAGGCAGGAGGATTCAGAGGCGAAGGCTTGCTGGCTCCTCCTGTCTAAAACAAATGAGCAAACACACAAAAGCCACTCATTAGTCAATAAGAGCTTCAAGGAGAAGCTGGGCATCAGTGGCTCACGCCTCTCATCCTGGCTACTCAGGAGGCTGAGACCTGAGGATCACAGTTCAAAGCCAGCCTGGGCAGGAAAGTCTGTGAGACTCTGATCTCCAATTAACCACACACACACACACACACACACACCACACACAGAGCCAGAAGTGGAACTGTGGCTCAAGTAGTACACAAGCCTTGAGCAAAAACTCAGGGACAGCACCTAGGCCCTAAGTTCAAGCCCCAGGACCGGTATGCAATTGAGTGGATGCACCCATGCTCACGCATGCATGCATGCACACCCACAGGTGTGCATGCACATGCACATGTGTGCATGTTCAATAACCATCTAAGTTGCACACACACTTTATCTTGCTGGAGGCACACCACTGAGCAGGGTGGTGGAGGCTGGGAGGCTCAGAGACCGCGGCCTCCCGGGGAACAGCGCTGTGGTGGAGCTCTGGCCTCCGCTCCCTGTGGGCCCAGCCTGGAGGCCAGTGTTGCCTCTGCTATCGGTGTCTCTGGGTTTTCAGATGTCGTCTCTCCTGTCTTGATTCTTGATTCATCTCCCTGGATACCACTCTGTCCTCCAGTCCCGACTCTTTCTACCCCCCAGTCCAAGGAGGAAACTTTTATTTTGGTACCACTACTGGGGCTTGAACTCAGGGTCTGGGCATTGTCCCTTTTTTTGCTCCAGCCTGGCACTCTACCCCTTGAAACCATTCCTCCACTCCTGGCATTTTACTGGTTCAGTAGAGATAAGAGTCTCATGGACTTTTTTGTCCAGGCTGGCTTTAAACAGTGATCTTCAGATCTCAGCCTCCTGAGTAGCTGGGGTGACAGGCGCGAGCCACCGGCACCCGGCTATCGTGGTGTGCTCTTTGCACGGAAGGGGCGCTGCCATGGTTTTCTGCGTTGCTTCTCAAGAGTGGCCTTTCTGCCCCGCCCCCACACCACCTGTGCCGGGGTCAAGTCCAAGTGGAGCTGTGCATTCTGGGTGAGCGGGGCCTGGGCACGTGTGCTCCCCATCCACTGGCTCCTGCCCTCCTTCTGGACCTCGACCCCTGCCCCCTCTTATCTGTGCTCACTTCCCGCAGCTCCTGGGGGAAGGCCCGGGAGTCCCTGCAGGAAGCAGGGTGCACAGAGCTGGCCCTCAGTGCAAACGAGATGACGTGTGGCTGGCACATGCAGGGACTCTGCCCGGCTGCAGCCCCGCCCCGCCTCCTGACCCCAGCACCTTCTCCATCCGCAGTGACCCCACACCTGCCACAGGTGCTTACAAGGCCCTGAGCTAAGTCTCACCCAGCACTTTGCCCTCGGAGGTGGCCTCTCCTGTGGGCCGGGTGCTGATGTCCCCGCTCAGTGCCTGGGGAAGAAGTGCCAGAGAAACTGAGGACTGGTTTTCAGGGGTGCAGCCGGTGGCACCGTGGAGGTTGGGATTCGGATCTCCTTATTTCCACTGATTTATTAAGATCAATGCTTTACAGCAGGTGCCAGTGGCTCACGCCTGTAATTCTAGTTACTCGAGAGTCTGAGATCTGGGAAGTGGCGCTGTGGCTCAAGTGGTAGAGCGCTCGCCTTGAGCTGAAGAGCTGAGGGACAGCGCCCAGGCCCAGAGTTCAAGCCCCACGACCGAACAAAAAGAAAAGAGTCTGAGATCTGAGGATCTCCGGGGCTGCACCATCATCCTTCCCCGACATGAATTTCAGGTGTGGGCAGTGCCTCAGTTTACCTGCTGCACCTGTCCACCAGCGATCAGAGACCCCAGGAGTCATGGGCCCGGAGCAGGGCCACGGAAGCAGCAGAGCTGTCTCATGAAAGCCCGTGTGGCGGGTGGCTGGGGTGACTCGGGGAGCCTGCCCAGGCCCTGCTGGCCGCTGAGCAGAACATAAAATACTCCGTGATGAGACAATGGAAAACAGATGAAAGTAGTTACTATTAAAAAAAACCAAAATAGTTCAAAATTCATTCATCAGGCTGGGTCTGGAGGCTCCTACCTGCTTGGGAGGTAGATTGAGAAGGTCAAATTCAAAGCCAGTCAGGATGAAGAGTTAGTGTAACCCTATCTCAACCAATAAGCTGAGTGGGGTGGTACCCACTTTTCACCCCAACTCTGGGAGGCATGAATAGGAGGGTTGCTGTTCGTGATGGTTTAGGCAAAAAGAAACAAACAGCCAAAATCATACCTGAAAAAAATACAGCAAAAAGGACAGTTACAGGAAAAAATATATTTCATGAAGAATCTAGGGGCTGGGAAGGTGGCTCGGTGGTAGAGCGCTTGCCTTGCATGCCTGAGGCCCTGGGTTCGATTCCTCAGCACCATATAAGCAAAAAGAAAAAAGCCGGAAGTGGCGCTGTGGCCCAAGTGGTAGAGCGCTAGCCTTGAGCTGAAGAGCTGAGGGACAGCGCTCAGGTCGAGAGTTCAGGCCCCACAACCGGACCCAAAAAAAAGTCTCCCTGCCTTTTCTGCCCAGTCTGGCTTTGAACCGTGATCCTCAGATCAGTCTCCTGAGTAGCTGGGATTACAGGCATGAGCCACTGGTGCTGGGCTGGTCATTTGGCTTTTTCACTCAAAGCCAGAGCTCTGCCCCTTGGTCTACACCTCTGCTTCCAGCTCTTTGCTGGTTAATTGGAGATAAAGGCTTCTTTTCCCAAGCTGGTTTCCAACTGTGACTGATCTTCATCACTCTGGGCAGTGCCTGGTGAGGGCAGCGGGCTGAGAGCCAAGGACCCTGCCAGGGAATTCGGGTCCCGGAGGCACTGCTATGCCTGGAGAGGCTGGCAGCCTGCGGCCGCCGCAGCCCTCGAGGGCCATGGGGAGCCTCGGAGAAGATGGCGGCCTCTGGAGGAAGCCAGCACCCCGCCCCCATGACCCGCCCCGTGCCCTCCTTGCTCAGTGAGCACCCAGGCCGAGGAGGCGGCCTCAGGTCCCAGCAGGGCTGGGGCCGGTCTGTGGCTGTTACCCCCGCGGCTCTGGAGACTGAGATGTCAGGATCCGGTTTGTGGCTCCAAGAAGTGAGCTCAGGAGCAGCGGGCCACCTCGGGCTCTTTCGCTGAGCCATTGTCACCCACTGCAGGGCCGCGAGCGCCACGCACGCCCGCGGCTCAGGGCCCACCAGGCCGAGAACAGCCAGGGAGCGGCCAGACAGGGGCCGGAGAGGAGCTAATGCCCAGGGGCGCCCAGGATCCCCGAAGCCCAGGCCAGCCCTCCTGCCAAGCCCTGCTCAGAGGACTGGCCCATCTCGCGAAAGGCAAACAGATGTGTTTTATTGACAGCACACACACACAGCAGTTCCATTTCCCACAAACACCGCAACTGAGACTCGGTTAACTCTGCCAGAGGTCCTCCAGCGTCTGGGCTTCCTTTAGGCCAAACACCAGGCTTTGCACGTCAGGTGTCAAAGGTCGAATCCAGCTCTGCACAAACACTGGTGGCCCCCAAAGCGTGAGAGCCGCGGGTGATCACGGGCCTCCCAGCTGGCCCTGCACACATTGTTTTTGTTGGCAAAGCTGTGTCACCACCAGGAGTCCTGCAGGGGCGAACTCAGCAGGGATGGGGGGCACTGTCCTCGTGACTCAGGGAAGGCTGGAGGCTGGAGGCTGGTGAGGAGGCCCGGCCTACATTCTTGCCAATCTAGTCTCATTCCTCAGGTCCAGATACCTAGGACCCCAGGCCTCACTCCCACGGGAGTTGGCTAATGGCAGGTCCGGCGGCTGCCTCTCTGGGTGGACTTCCAACACCTTGTTCATCTTGGCAAAGATCTTGTTGATCTCAATGAATGTCTGGGCCTTGGTCTCGGGGACAGCCATGGAGATATAGATGGTGGTGAGGAGACAAATGACGGCAAAGATGATGAAGCTGTAGGGGCCGAGGCCCATCTGTGGGAGGAAGGGCTGCTGAGGCGGGCTGCGGCCACAGGGCCTGGCTGGGAGGTTCTTGCTCTGTGACTTGGGGGTTGGGGTGACCCTGGAGCCTCAGGTCTCACTCACTTGAATGAATGGAAAGATGAGGCCCACAGCGAAGTTGGAGAGCCAGTGGATACTGCCGCCCACCATGAAGGCCGCTGGCCGAGAGGACTGCAGGAAGATCTCAGTGATGAACAGCGCAGGGATGGGACCTGGGGGAGACAAGGGTGGAAGGAAGGGAGGGAGGGAGGGAGGAGGGGAGGGAGGAGAAGAGGGGAAAGAGGAGGGGGGAGGGAAGGAGAAAGGGGAAAAGAGGGAGGAAGGGAGGGTGGGGAGGGGAAGAGGGAGCAGGCCACACAATGTCCTAGCATCCCTGGGGGTCCGGGGCATCTGCCAGCCCCCGGGGCTTAGGTGGCAGCAGGGAGAGGAGATGAATGGCAGTGGGCGCCGCCAGGTGGAATGGTGGCACCCTGTGCAGTGGGCGTGGCCCCTTGTTGGCCTCCTGCTCCTGAGCTCAGAGCTCAGTGATTTCAGCCTACATAGCTCAGGACGGTCCCCGGCCTGGGGACCGGGAGAGGGGGCGAGGCCACATCAGGGCCACATCTGCCCTCCCTGGAGCCTCTCACAGAAGCTCAAGCTACAGGTTTCCAGGCCATGAGAGGGGCCCTGGGGCACGTACTGGGCCCGAGGGCGTGTCCAATGACGTAGGCGATGACGCAGGTGATGCTGATGTATGGCACCCAGGAGACCTGGTCCTGGGGGTGGGGACAGGTGGCAGGTTAGCACCTGGCAAAGCAAAGGCCAGCTGGGCGGGCAGCTGAGGGGCTGGGCCCCTGAGGGAAGCCTCTGTGCCCGGGGTGGAGCAGGGCCTGGCTGGGGGGGATGGCTCCTGGCTGGGGGTCCTGGCGGG